CAAAGAAGTACTTTGAAAGAAAGAAGAAAGTGTAAATCAATTATTTAGATTGACTTTCACTGTTTCCGAAACTCCTTTTATTGAATAAAATCAGAGCTTTAACAAACCAGTGTTGTTTTGAGATTGATAGTGAATGTTTTGAAATATTGATATGAAATATTAACTTTTTTCAAAAACCTTCTCAGCTCTGGTCACATTGCGGAGCCGAGCTCTGAGTCTGACTAAGCTGGCCGATTGCGACCCCTCCTTTCTTCTGTGGGCCAAAACAAACTACGCAGATTTCATTGTTAGCCTCGTTGGCAGCATGTAAATGTCCGTCTTTTGTTTTGCCCGCTGCTGCTGGCCCAAGTGGCCAACTGTCTGGGCCAGGTCGGCTGTTGTGGCTGCGGCTGTTGTGGCTGTTGCCGCTGTTGTCTTAAATTAATACCAAATTGTCAACGCTGGCGAAAAGCTGCACAGCGCGCCAACGCCGCATGATAAGAGAGGCAGGAGCCAGAAAAAAATAAACAGACCGGGCCAAGAGAGCTGCAGTTACCAACTGGGCAAATGGGCAAATAGGCAACTGGGCATCTGGGAGTTGGTTAAACGGGGAACTGGGAACTGGGAAATGGGAGCCCACTGACTGCGACTGCGACTGCGACTACTGCATCTGCGCATGCGTCTGCACTTTTCGCTTCTGTGCGCGGCGGCTTTCGCTCGTTTTGGCCGTTGCTGTTGCCCATGCTGTTGCCCATGCTGTTGCTCTTGCGGCTGGTCTAAGGTCTTCGATGGTCGTCAATTGATAGCCAGATTTGTGCAATTATCATTTTAATAATTGCCAACAATCTGCACGATATGAACCGGCGACAGCGACAACGGCCAAGGCTGCGGCTCCTCCTGGTCGTGCTCATAACCAGTAGCCAGTAGCCGGATCGGTCGGCAGCCACTGCAGTGCACTGTCGCCTCGCTGTGGGCATCGTTCCGGCCTCCATTTGTTGCCAAGACAATTATAATCCACATGGCCAGGCTACATAATAATAAATTTATTACAGATTTCCGCCTGATTTGTTGTCAGGAATTTTCCCCATGCATTCGGCGGCAGCACCCACTTCGAGACAAATAGAGAATGAGAATACTTAAATGGTCTCTCAGTGCTTTAAACGATGTCGGCAGATAGTCCGATAAATCAGTAGAGATTGGGGAATCGGTCAGAAGAGCCAAGGGGAGGACGTCCTGGAATCTCAGTAATTAAACAGTTTGGGATTCTTTAATTGTAATAAAATCGGGATTGGAATGTGGAGTATTGTTAGTCTTATCTTCAAGGTGTTTTCTCTAACTCCTAAAAAATTAAAAATATATAAAAAATAGAGAAATATCAGATTATAAAGAGATTTAACTTAATATTTTTAGCCTAAGAATGCGTTGTCAGGGCAATAAAGTCAATATTTGTTCATTAAATTAAAATTAAGGAAATTAAAGTGATAATCCAGTTCAAATATATTGATCTAAGATCTAAGGCTTACACACGTAAAATCTGTCAATCGTTTTAGCTTATTGGATATCAGTTAGTATAGCACTTTATCTAGCCATTCACCAAGTTCACCCCACCATTCATCATGGGGCTTTCATTCAGCCAATCCAACATCTATCTAACGGTCCACACAACCCACACATCTCCACCACCGAAGTTGGCCAGAAAGCGACACCGAAACTCACCTCACCACGAGCTGGCCCACACACACACAGACGCGAACCCGTTCCGTGTGCGTGTTACCCGCCCTCTCAGCGTTCTGTCGACCAATCAGCGTTCAGCGGGCCAAGAGTCACGAGCCAGAAGCCACTAGCCAAGTGCAAAGGCATTTCCGAGTTTCCGATGTGTGGGATTTGCTCGAGCACAGGGGCTCTCAGAGGGTGTCGTAAATAAAATGTCGCCCGATGCGAAAAACAGAGAATGGAAATTATTTACGACTCACGGGAAACCTTTTACCTGTGCTGCGTTGCACAACAAAAAAATAGTGATCAGTATTCAAGCTTAAAATCCATTTTAAAACTAAAAGTTTAACCAACGAAAATTTGAACATGAATTTATTTTGTTTGGAGAAATATTTAAGGTTTTTATATAATAGTAATAATAAACTAGTCAAAATTATTATCCTAAAAATATTAAGCTTGGTAATAAAACTCTAAAAACCATTTAAAAATTATCCCATTAAATGCCAATTACACACTATTTTGGGTCTGTGGTAACTGCGATTTCTTATTAAAAACTTACAAAGATGCAAGTTATAAATTATTGCCAATGCACAAACAAAGAGATTTCGTTGAGCGAACATGCAATAGAATATAGCTTCGGTTTGGGAAACACCAGGAAATAAATTTAAATAAATTTTATTATTTAAATAAAATTTTATTTTGATCTTAAATAGATTTCAGAGCTAGTATAATTAGTTGCAAAACAAAAGAAATGTAGAAAGTATAATAAAAAAGACATTTTTCAGAAAGGAAATTCAGAAATTATGCCAATAATTTATAATTCATTTTAATAATCTTGAGAAAAGCAAATGAAATGAACTCGCTTGAGTTTTATTATTTCCCTAAAACCTTTTCCTTAATGAAATTTAAAATTTTCCATAAACAGCTAGGCCCATAATCCCCAATCGATTTCTGTGCCTTAAACTGTTTTTATCTTAGTGTACCGCCGCGACTGCGCAGCGCATATCAAACGATGATAGATGTTGAGCGGCATACGGTGAATCCGTTACAAAGCGGCAGGCGATGAGCGAATGAGGGGCAGAGGCACGCGCCCTCGGTCCTCCACAAAAATGAGAACAACAACAGCAAAAAAAAAAAAAAAAAACGCTTCCAAGCGAAACGATGCCACCGAGTTGAGTTGGCCAGCCCTCATCGCGGTCGAAATTCCCCCATTTTGGCCCGCTTTTGAGGCCGGCCGCGTGCCTCGTACCGCTTCGCTAGATCGGCAGTGCCCGTGGCGGACTCGTGTCCTCTGGAATTTCGGTGTCGCCTCAACGCTGCACATGTCCTGTCCAAGGAAATTGCGCCAAAAACTAGGGGACGGGAAGGAAAAAATTGCTGACAAGGAAAAGGATCGTTAAATGTGGACGAAGTGTGCGCCCGCCACTTCTTCTTCTCCGCAGCTCGTTTTCTAGGCAGGTGTGGCCCGCGCCAAGGATAGATAAACTGGAATTGAGGCGGCGGCGGCCAAGACGAGGTGGCCAAGCGTGGCGGAGGAGCGAGTTAGCCGGAGGAGGAGGTCCTCGAGCCGCCGAAGGATAAGCTCGGGAAAAGGTGCAGCGAGCGAGAGAGAGGGAGAAAGTGGCAGGTGCTGGGCCCAACTGAGTGGTTTTAGTATGCACGATCCAACGGGGAGATGGGATCCTTAATGCTCCTAGTTTAGTAATTATTATAAGGTAAGAATGGCCGTCTGAACCGATTGAGGTTCAGATCGCCTAGGGACCAAAAATGATTATAATCAAAGAAAATCATAAATAAAAAAATTGTTTATTAAATATTTAAAACATTTTATCTCACATTTTAGGTTGGGAAATCGTGTCCGACCATATAGAATATTAAAATCGTAAATGTATTCCACTTAGTAAAAAAAAACCCAATGGGAAAATCGGGATTTCTGATTGACAATCAAAACATATTTTCATTATTTGTTTGTGATAATACCATAAAATATGTTTTCTTTATTTGTTTGTGATAATACCATAATACACATACCTTTTAACTATTTATTTATTGAATATGTAAAGTGTTTCATTTTAAATTTTAAGTTTGGAGATCGTAACCAATATTTCATAATAATAAAATCGGAATTATGTTTTAATCACTCTAATCAACTGTTTTTTGTTAGTAATAATACCATGGGACGAATAACTTTACAAAGTAAACAATTCATGGATAATTGATTATAAGAATAAAACGAAACCATTTTTTTTAATAAAAGTTTTAGAACAGGTTGAAGTTACAAACTAAATTTAAGCAAACCTAAAATTTTAAAATTTGTTTATTTGTGCTTAGACTTTCATAACTTAAAAATTTCTGTGATGGTTGTTTATCAGATCTATAGCTTCAATTATGTTAAAGTTGGTTTTTTGGCTATTGTATTTAAATATGTCCTTTAATTTAATAAATAAAAAACATATATATTTTTTTTAATTTTGAAAATCTTAAATCCAATTTTAATCTCTATTAAATCTAAATGCAATCTAAACAGTTATTTACTAATTATTCCTAGTCAAATACTGGCACGTTGAGTTGCCGCGACAGATGTTAGATCCGTGGCTTCATCCACCTAAATATTTGTAGGCTAAACCGCCCGGTTCCCGCCCTCGTCCTTTGTCCTTCGTCCTTTCCTCTATCAGCGATCGGTAGTGAAATCGCTTCCTCTCCCTTTGGCCAAAGTCGAAATATTCCCAAGTCAACAACAGTTGGTGGCAGCAACACCAACAGCAATTGCAACAGCAACAGCAGCAGCGGCAACAGCAACATCAGCAATTGTAACTGTTACAGGGCAGCGGGAAAAGGACAACAAAAACGCCCGCCAAACTTTAACTGCATACCAATTAGTAGGGAAACGCGTGCTGCCGAGCAAAGAAAACCAGTAGTATGCTGGATAGGGGAGGATGGGGGATAGAGGATGGAGGACTCCTAACTGTGCGTCTTGACCCTTACAACATGCCCAGGAAGACAGGAGCAACTGCAACAACAGCCGCCAACTGCTGCCAAAGGTGAAAAACCAGAGTTGGCAACACGAACACGAACACCAACACTCACACATTGAAGGGCTCTGTGAGCCACCACCAAAGAGTCAACGTCGAAATACACCAATACCGATATACAGAGGGCCCGTTTTGATTCGGCTTGCTGCCAGCACTCACACAAACTCAGTGGAAAAGAGAGCTCGATTTGTACCTTTTTTTCGGGCCAAGTCGCTTCACCGTTGGCTCAATTTAGAACCGAGCCATCGACTAAAGATTCAGTCAGGTGCGAAGCACCGAGCGATACGGACGTGTTCGTCTCCAGTGAGTCAAGAATCCCGATTCCCGAATCCCGAATCCCGATTTCCGCACAAGAGAATAAACCCATCGAAGATCGAATTAAATATCAGAGTGAGATTTGTGCAGTGAACAAGTACTGAGCTACTGAAATCACCTCAAAAAGATTGTAAACGCAAAAAAAAAAAGCAAGTGAGAACCAAAAGTTTAGACTCCGAGTCGCAATGAATCACCTATCGCCGCCGCCATCGCCGCACTCGCAGCAGCCGAGTCCAGCGGGAATGGGAATGGGCTGCCATGGAGCTGCCCTCGACAAACAGTGGATGCAGCGGGCGTCCGCCTTCAACACTGTGATTGCCTCCGCCGCCGCCCAGAAACTCAATGGAAGAGGTGAGCTTCACACACAAAGATCAGTCTGGAATTTCAAGAAATCTTAAGATATTAATTGAAGAAGGCTAAGACCTAAGACGAATTGGAATTTTCAGGAGAAATGTTGAATACCAATGCCCTTTTAAAATAATAATTGAAACAAGAGAAAAGCTTAAATAGTTTGTCAAAATTTCAACCAAACATAAAGTTTTAAAAGTGATCTAAGACCTTGTTTTTTCCATAAGAATTTTTAAAATTTTTTAACCATAATATTATTCTATGTATATTTTTGGCTAAGGTTTCTTTTATTCGATTTTACTTGATTTATTAGCTAGAATCTAATATGCCAGCAAGATATTGGTTATGATTTATGATTTGATTTACATCAATATTTTTGTAGCTTTTTAATTTTAAAGACATATTTATTTCACAAGTTCTTACAAGTGATCAAGTTTAATTTTGGTTAAATTATTTCACGGCTTTAATATACTAAAATAAGGATGGCAAATATAAAAATTCAAATATAAACTGCATAGTTCAACAGCACTTATTAAGGGATTAGGTGTCGTACTTTCAAAATTCAGATATAATAAAAAGTTTATACAGTTCTTGGTCTTAAAGCTTCAAAAGGCCTTTAAAATATATTGTAGATCAGAGTAATTAATCTTTTGAAAATAAAATACCCAGTAGCTTATGTACAAAAAGTTGCCAAACGGAATAGGAACAAAGTCTTAAGCTGTTTGGAAAAGCCTTCCAAACCTGGTCTCTGATAACCCATTTAACCCTTTTAATTTCCAATCCCCTTCCCAGATCTTCCCTTTCTGTACAATCCACTGCTCTACTCGAGTGCCCTGCTGTGGCCCCAGTTCCTGCTGTCCTCGGCCACGGCTCTGGGCACGCCCCTGACCCCCATGACCCCCAAGTCGCCCGCCTCCGTGGTGATGGGCCAGCGGGATCGCGACTACGCCCTGACCCCCGAGAAGGAGCACGAGCTGCAGCTGAACAACAGCAACACCGACAAACAGGAGGATCAGGATCAAGAGCAGGAGCAGGAGCAGGACGAGGATATGCCCCTAAATCTGAGCACCAAGGAGCGCATCACAGCGGATCAGTACCACATCAGCAGCCACAACAGCAGCAGCAGCAGGAGCAGCTCCAGCAGCGATGTGGAGCCAGTGCATCCGATGACCTCGCTGAACGTGACCCCGCCCCCCTGAGGGCGGTCAACCTGAAGAGTTCGGCCACTCCGCAGCAGCAGCAGCAGCAGCATCAGCAGCGCCAGAGATCACAGGGCAACATCATCTGGTCGCCGGCCTCCATGTGCGAGCGATCGGCGAGAAGGGTCGAGAAGTTTGGCCTGAAAATGGAGGACGACGAGGAGCAGCAGGTAGATCCCATTGTGCGAAAGTTCAAGTACGAGCGCCGGACCGCCTCCATATCCTCGCTGCAATCGCCGATCTCCTCGCTCTCCGCTCCTGCCTCCAATTCCGTCCAGGATCTGGAGTTCGAGGTGGCCCAGCAGCAGTTGTACGCCCATCGCAGTGCCTTTATGGCCGGACTCACGGGCAGCAATCTGGAGCTGCTCACCCAGCACCTGAAGCAGCAGAAAAGTGAGCAGCCGCAGCAGCAACAGCAGCAGCAGCAGCAGCAGCAGCAGCAACATCATCATCATCGCATCAAGGACGAGCAGCAGGATAACAACCGTTCGGCAGCCGCACTCATGGGCTTGGTGGCAGCCGCCGAATTTGGCTACATGCGTAATCAACACCAACAGCCGCAGCAGCAGCAGCAACAGTTGCATCACCAACAGCAGCAGCAGCAACAACATCACCAGCAACAGCAGCAACATCCTGACTCGACGGCCACAGATGTTGCGCGTCGCTCCTCCTCCTCGTCCTCGTACCAAGGCGAAGGCGAGGAGAAGCGCAGCGGCAGGAATTTCCAGGTAAGCTGACGCTGACTCAAAACAGGATATGCCTGGGGCATGGGGCATGGGGCATGGGGCACAATTGAGGGCGAATCGCTTGAAAATCTCCGAGTTCTAATGGGCTTATCACGTGTCCTCCAGCTGGTCAGGGCGATCTATATAGCTATCAGCTATCCAATCCTTCCCGAGGTGCAAATACTTTCATTGCATAAGGTTGCGTGTTGCCGGCAATTCCCCTGTGTTAATCGTTTCATATTTTCGTCCTTCAAGGCTTTTAATTGTCAAAGGACCAGACCCCCAACCGCACCAGTTTCAATTTGGAAAAGTGGCACAGCAAATACTGACATCAAAATTGGTAATACAAGCCAAACAGATAGCCAGCTCTATGGAAATTCAATTAAGTCCCATCGAAATCACGCAATTAGTTAATCAAATAATTTTGATTAGCGGGGGTAGGGGGAAAAGGGAAGGGGGAAGATTTATGTACAAATTACAATCATAATTGTCATTTCGATATTGAATTGTGAGGAGGTAGTTCAAAAAAGGGGGCACACGACCGCCAGGAATTTGAGACGACAACTTACCCTTATGCCTACCTCCGATGTCATATTGCGTTTATATCCATCAACACCCGTCGCGAGTCCTTTATTTTTTTGGTTTTTTCTGCTTTTAGTTTTTTTCACACATTCGAGGGTCAGTGAGTGAAATGCGATAGGTTTTCGGGCTTCAGGAGTGCCATATGGTTAGAAGCAGAGAAGACAGTTGCCCGAGTCTTTGGCGCAGGCGCTGTTCATTTATATATAGATTCGATTTTTTTTTCTGTAATTCGTACTTTACATCTGTTCCAGCGTAGGAGGCCCACCCGGCTGACTCAGACTTTGGGGTTTCTCCTGCGCTTTTTTCTTGCTTTTTTCTTGCTTTTGTTTTTTTTTTTTTTGTCGAACTTTGCCAACTTCCGTTCCGTTGTCGGAGCTAAAGCAAATTGACATTATGGCTCAGGCAGTCGAACGCAGCTTAACAATAGAGCAACTAATTGGGTCTGAGTCTAGTTGGTCCAATGTGGATATGTATTTATATTTGGTCCACTCGAATGCAATGCGTAAATAGAAAATCCCAAAAAACAAGCCACAAGAAAATAAATAATAATAAAAATAAAAATCAATAAAAAAGGCAAAAATGGGAGAAAGAAATTCGAAAAACACAGACACTTGTGTCAATTTACAAAAAAATACGATGGGTTTTCGAAAAAAAAACAAAGTGTCTCACTTTTTTTTTTGTGCTTAATAAATGTCGCCCACGTAAAGCGAGCTGATGAACGATTTGAGTTGTGTTATGTCAATGTTTGGTTACTTGCAGCAACATGCAACTGGCAAACTGGCAAACTGTTCAAACATTTAATCTGACAACCGAAGATGTTACAGCCATCCAATCCGCGATCGATGCGATGCGATGCGATGCGATCGGAACCCATCTGTGTTTGGCCCACAAATATGTGTACTTGTGTATATACAAAGTATGTACATGTAGTATGGCTCCCTGGAAAGTGTTTCACTTGAGATTTAGCATTGGGCCGAGACAGACCGCCTGTTTACTTAGCTGTTTTGCAAAAATACCAGCTAGATGTGGGCTAACTTTGGGTTTTCCCTTGGCTCAGGCTACGGGGTTGTCGTCACCTGTCTAACAAATATTTGAACACTCACAAATCTAGTTTAATTCGTATTGCCACTGAGAATTTGGCTCAGGCACACAATTCGAATTCTTTTCAGATTTTCATCTTTTCATCTTTGCCACTTTGGTTTTTTGGGGATAGGCGGCACGGGCTGTTCAAATATGGGGTATTTTGGGCTGTCGTGACTCGTTTTGTTTGAATGTTGTGTTTAAATGTTTAAATGTTTTTTGCAGTGCAAACAGTGTGGCAAGAGCTTCAAACGGTCATCCACCCTATCCACGCATCTGCTCATCCACAGCGATACGCGGCCATATCCCTGCCAATATTGCGGCAAGCGGTTCCACCAAAAGTCGGACATGAAGAAGCACACCTATATACACACGGGTAAGCAAATCAAAGTTGTCATTCTGTAGTGCAAACACAAAAGGGGCCACCCTCGAGCTTTGATCTCAATCGCCTTTCAATTTGTCTAATTGCTGTAATCGCTCGCCCATGGCCACAATTAATAAACTTGCAAACGGCATTTAACTAATTGTGTTTATTGATTTTTGTGCCATTGCAGGCGAGAAGCCGCACAAGTGCACGGTGTGCTTGAAGGCCTTCAGCCAGAGCTCGAACCTGATCACGCACATGAGGAAGCACACGGGCTACAAGCCCTTTGGCTGTCTGCTCTGCGATCAGTCCTTCCAGAGGAAGGTGGATCTGCGCCGGCATCGGGAAAGTCGTCACGAGGAGGCGCCCGCCATCGAGGACCTGAAGCCCCTGAAGATGGAGGTGAGCAGCAGCAGCTGCTGACCAAGGATGTCAGGATGTCGCTGAGCCCAGTATTCAAACAATCAGTTGAAGGAGCAGACCACAGTTGGCCCTAAGTCTAAGTCGTTGCTATATAAGCCAAAGTTTGTTTTGTTTAGGCCTTCGCAAAGATTTAGCTAGGCATAAGGACAGGATTGTTAAATAACCCCACCATTAGCTAAGATACTGCCGTAAGCCTGTACATAGTTATCGCAAATTACAAGACTCCTCTTCTAGCTGTTAACTAACTAACTAACTTAACTAGCCTAATAACTAATCTAATTTATTGCATTAACCCTGATTGACTCGGTTTGGAACTTAACCCAAAATTGGCAGCTAAACGTACCAAAGAACAACCTCAAACAAATGAAATACCACTTGGCGACCACTTGTCTAAATTTAGTGTCCTAATTTATTTAAGTTCATCGATGGCTCACCCATCAGCCCCATTTATTTATACGATTTATGCGAATTTTAAGTTTATTCTTATTTTGTAATTAACCCAATGACTTTTATTGTAATTATATTTATTAAGAGAATTTATGATTTTTTGGAAAATAAAGTTGAAAGCTAAAAGAGAACAAAAGAATGAGAATACTTTTTGTTAATAAAGGGTTAATATGATGGGAAAATGTAATGGGTTTTTGGGACATATTTACAAAGTCTTAACTGCTTAATGGCAGAGAAAAAATAGTTAAATAATAATTATAAAATAAGATATAGAAAATCAATAGAGCATTTTGTTTACTGCTTTTTACTTTTGTTTGGTAAAATTAAAGAAGTTAGGGAAAGTAATGGTTTAACTTGTTGTCTGACTTAGCCTAATGATTATTTCAAATGTGGGGTAAATACCTCAAAGAAACTAATGAGAATATTTTTGTAAATAAAACTTAGTTCAGAATAAAATATTTAATGGGTTCTTGTGACAAATTTACAAAGTCTTAATTGCTGAATGACAGAAACAAAAAAAAAATGAAGAAAATCAATAGAGCATTTTAATTAATACAAATTTTTGTTTAATAAAATAAAAGAAGTTAGGGAAAATAAAGGTTTTTTTTTTGTCCGAGTGAACATGTTAATTAATTCCAATACCATTGTGGGGTAAATATCTCATTACTTCGACCATCCCCCTGATCAGCTGAGACATTCCACGACATCAAGGACACAGAATCCTCCTTTGAAGTCACACATTTTGGTACAAATTGTCCGGACCGATCGAAATATTTTTTGGGGGTTTTGGCCGTAAACCTGATTTTATAGATGAATTCCTGCACGTACTCAATTGATGGGGAATAAGTTGCTCCGGTTTCGGGTGACGCGGTGATCTTTGATCTGTGCCCAATGTGGCATTTGGGGAATGCCCTTTGTAAGTCGCCGCGTTACAGCAGGTACTTCCCCACTTCCCCCCTTTCCCCGGGGAAAACGCCAATAAGTGTTCGAAGTTCGAACTAATTGCTGACGAAATAAAGTGAGAAATGGGGCGAAAGACGGGGATTGCAGGCAATGGTCATTGAGGACTTCCACTGCTGATCGCAATTTTCGGTAATCGAAATGTCCGAATGCATTTTGCGGCACTTTAAAACGCCCGAAATGAAGTTTGCCAGTTTACAAATCACCGACTTCCCTCATTATCGCCATTCATCGCGGACTCGCAATCAGAAATCGACGAAATCAGCGAGCCTTTTGGGCCACTTTTCTCAGAGCCAAACCCAAACCCGATCGTCAGGTTGTTCTTTGCGCTTTGGCACGCCACAAATTGATCGAAATTGACAAAATATTGAACAAAAAACAGGGTTGGGAGGGAGAGAAATATGCAGTTCAATTGTTGCCGAAGAAAAATGCAGTTCAAGGACTTTTAGCCCAGTTGCCGACAAAGTGCTGATCAAAAGCCAAAGAATGTAGATGCAACTGGGGCTAATCATCATCCCCACTATGGAAATGACTTTTGCATAAAATTGCAGGTGGTTTGTTCACAAAGAATTCGCCATCTCAAGGTCCAAAATGGAGCTGAGAAGTTTGTTATTTAAACATCTTTTGGAAATTGTTGAAGGATTCATCAAGAATGTTTGCTTGTTCTTAAGCGCTAAATTATGATAGGTCCTTCATACTTAATCATTCAAAATAGTACATGGGATCCAAAAAGATCCTAACAGAATCATTTGTCACACGTACAAAAATAACTGAAAGTTTAGTAGTATTTAGGTGTATTAAAACAAGAAGTTATTTAATAATAAATAATATATCACCATACCTCTTAGTTTCATTTCTATACCAAATAATCTAATATTGTTAAATAAGGCTTTAATTATAAACCACATAAGTTTTATTTTAATACTTTCGTCTTATTAAATTAATACTCATCTTATTGTGACATTTTTTTAAACCCAATAGTTTAAAATTCATGTAACAATAGTTTAGTTTCTATGACAATTTTGTTTTGGGTTTACAAATTGGATAGGAATTAGGTGAGCCTTTGTTACTTGTCTCCCTTAAGACAAACCCTCTGTGAAGAAAAAGAAAGTGCTGCAGAATAATAGATTGCACTTTGTAGTGCTCACCCGATAAGATACAGCGATCAGTCGCATGTGCCATATGCTGGAGTTTGTCCGCAGCGCTGACTCTCGGTTTATTAACCCCTTTTTCCGCTTAACACCTGAGCCCACATAATTTGTCATGCCATTTGGAATTTATTCAACAGTCGCGCCAAGCCCCCATGGAAACCAAAAATGTTATATGGCTATCGAAAGACTGGAAAGCTGCAACCCCAAAACGCGAACAATGGGAAAACCGTGCAGTGTGTTTGAATTTGAAGAGGAAATTGATCTTAGAAGAGGTCTTAAGAGGCCTAGGACCCGCAACATTCTCGGGTCCTTTTCCCCTCCCCCCTCCCCACACTAACCGCCTTTCGGTTCCGTTTTCCGGCTACCCCTAGCTCATTGGGTCTTTTGGTGCCGGGCAGGTGACTTTTGACTTTGGCTATTAATAAAAATAATAGTTGCGGCTAAAAAGAGGAGAAAAACACAGAGAAGGTGAAGAGCCCGGCCAAGAGCAAGGGCAAAAAAGATGTCTTAGGTCAGTTGTGTTGCAGGTGAAGCGACGAGCTGCTGCCCGGCTCACAATTAAAATGCGGAGGGGATGCAGCCGAAAAGGCACCTGTAATGCACAGATAGAGGGAGACGGAAGGACTCAAGAGGGAGAGGGAGAAGGAGAAGGAGCATGGGCAGCGGCTCAATATTACATCGGCTCATTTATGTTTATGTCCTTTCGTTGTAAGCAGGCTGGCGCTGATTCCCGATTCCCTCCAGCGGCATTGAGCACCTGCTGCCTTTTGCTTACTCCTCCTGCTCGTCCTGCTGATCCTGCTGCTGCTGCTGCTGCTCCTTCTGCTGCTGCTGCTGGAATCCTGGAACCTGTCGCACAATTATTGAGCCAGGACGAGACGAGACGCGTGCTCAAAGCCGGTTTGCGGCAAAAAAAGCCATATGCCAGGAGGCAAATTACAACGGCGACCTGCAACCAGTTGACATGGGCCACACGACAACAGCAACATCAGCATGCACACGAAAAAAAAGTCACATTGAACAGCAATTTACCACAAGAGAAATACAAATTTATAAGCCAAAACATACAAGTCAAATTTGTGAGGCTTGTAAGAAATTTCACCAAACCAAACCCTTATTATCCTCTAAGAATGACTTTATATTTAAGCAATGAAAACCAAGATTGTTATTTTTGAGTTCATTGAAAAAAATATACAATTTTCTGGTACTTTCCTAATATTCGTATTTAAAGTTTGGAATTAAAAATGCGACAGAGAATTTATTTATATCTCTTGCTTACATGGGGTATTATAATTTATCTTAAGAATTTATAGGTTTGTATTTTTGAGTAAAGAGCTATAAAAAATTGAATTTTAAATAGATTAAAGGATATATTACTAGAAGTTAACGATAAGATCCCTATACTATCCTTGTAATCGAAGGCCTGGAATCATCAATGTTAGCCTTAGTTTTGTTAAGCTAGACTAACATATTTTATAAATAAATATAGATTTTATTTAATTATAAGGAACCTAATTTGTGGACTTGTTGAACTGGTTAATATTGTTCTCAGTGCTTATACATCAGGGGCAGCAACGGCAGAAGCCAAAAGATGCAACAGTCGTAAAAATCTCTCCCTCAGACGGGCAGACACAGATACTGACCGCAAAAAAACATCCGAACTGGCCGAGACGGAGAGATCTGCATCTAATCTTGGCCCTCAGGGGAGTCACTGCCGACCGAGTGTGTTTTGAGCCACAAGCTGTCGCTTAAAATCCACAAGCGAAGGTGCAACAACAATCGTAAGTGCGCCGCTGCACCTGTCACGCTCGATCGATCGATATTACAAGATCGACTTGTCGGCCAGGCCAAAAGTGACCCAATTTTCAACAGGCCGCTGGCTCTGCCTTCGTCCTCGTCCCGTTCTTGCCCTTTTAAAACTGATAAGTTATGATTGCTTCACTTTTGTTTGATTGAGCATTGTCACCTGGCTGGAAACGATGCTAGAGAAGTTGATTGTTAGACTCGGGTTTGGGAGAATTTTTGTAATGGCTTCAATACGTTTTTAATGGATACTCATGGACAGGTGATCGCTGCACATGATGTCATAAAAATATTAAACAGCCTCTCAATTGAAAGTCATTTCTGAGTCCTTACAGTAGTCATATTTTGATTAGTTCTAGATATAGTTTGGCTGGCATGGATTCTTATACATACATATGTATAAGGTACACATCTTAAAAGGTTTGAATGAAAGGACCTGATGTTCAGACTTCCGGGTACTTAAAAGACTCTGTTATTGTAGAAAGGAATGCTGAAACAAGCGACAGTATATACAAAGTATTCAAAAGAATCAAAAATAATTATTTTTTTGGATTTAATCTGATTTTGCTCAGACATATTGCGTTTTATTATATTTGTCAAAGAATAATAACTATTTCTAAGCAAAAAATAAATATCGCTTAAATAATATTAGCATTATTATTTCGCTAAAAAATATTACTTAATTTTATCAGTTAAATTTGTGTAATTTTATATGCTGTAATTTTAATAAATAAGCTTGAAAGCTGATTCTAAATTGATTCATAAGAAAGAAAATTATACTATTGATTTTTTATACTTCTTAAAATTATTGAAAATTAATTAAACGAACATTTTTGGTGACAATTGGACATAAAATACAGATCATATTAATATATAGTACTTAAGAACAACTTATACCTTTTGTTATATTTCAAAACCCATATAAAATAAGAACTCCTCATCAAGTTGAGATTGCATTGAGCAGCTTTTATTAAGACCTGGCCAAGAGCCCGACTACTGTGAATTCTGTCGCACTTTGTCCAAGTTCGCTGGCCAAATCGGAAGCCAATACAGTGCCGTGTCAACGACTAGTCTACAAGTTGCAGATTAGTCGCCGCCAACCCCCCTGGAAAATCTTAAGCTGTTTCGATTTGAGTGCAGAGGACAAATCCAAGTCAGA